TCAAACAAAGTCTTTGATGAAATCTTTCATTTATTAAGCACGGCAATCTGTCCCCGTTTATGTCGTAGCCAACACTGACTTCCTGACCCCAAACCTTCCCTTTCCATTCCCCAATTCTCTGTGTCTCATTGGCCATCTTCCAAATCACTCTCCCCATATCTACTACTTCAGCTCCCAGGAATGTCCCCCCTCCCAACCCATCTCCTAGGGGATATTATCTTCAGGGAAAATAAGTAGGTGAAAAGTCAAGCGTCCTCTTGCCAGCTGCCCCCTCTTCCCCTCCTTATGTCAGCACTGGAACGAATGTAGTTTGGAGTGCTGACAGCTTATTTTCTGGTTGGGTCTTATTTTTGGGGAAACAGGGTAGTAAAATGCTCTAATGATACGGTTGAGTGCAGGATCCTTTTGCTTTTGAAGTAGAAGGTCCTAGCCAGAATGGGTTGAGCTGTGTTTTTCTAAACCTTGGCAAGTTGAAGATATGTGGACTTCAGCTCCCAGAGTTCTCCAACCGGCCCTGCTGGCTGAGGAATTCTGGGAGTTGAAGTCCATACATCTTTGACTTGGAGAGACTGAGAAAGTCTGCGATACAGCATTAAGCTAGACCGCCTATTTAAAATCCTGACCAAAACTTTCATTATGTCCTTGATCGCCTTGCCATTCAGCAGAAAGGTTCCCTGACCTCCACTTATGAAGACGAGGGTTATTCCCAAACCCGCAGCCACTCTTCCTTGACCCCCACGTTCTGTTGGATAGCCCCACGCAACCAAGTTATCAATATCCTGGGTGTTGAATGGCAAACGTAACAATAGGACATGTAAAGAACAGTGAGGGGGCTTTGAGGGCAGTGCAAGGCAGGAATAGCAATAGCACTTAAGACTATATACCGCTTCGCAGAGCTTTACAGCCCTCTCTAAGCAGTTTACAGAGGTGGAGCTCTTGCCTCACAATCAGGAGGTTATGAGTTCGATCCTAGGTAGAGGCAGATGTTAGGGTCTCCTGCTTGGGCAGGGGGTTCGACTAGATGACCTGCAAAGGTCCCTTCCAACTCTTGTTAATTTGTTAAATCTGGGTCCCTCATTTTACCAACCTCGGAAGGATGGGAGGCTGAGTCAACCTTGAGCCCGATCAGGATCGAACGGCTGACTGTGGGGGCGAGTTAGCCTGCAATACTGTATTCTAAACATTGGGAGGGAGGGAGGGAGGGAGGGAAGGAGGGAAAGAAGGAAGGAAGGAAGAAAGAAAAGAGGGAGGGAGGGAGGGAAGGAAGGAAGAAAGTGAAGAGGGAGGGAGGGAGGGAAGGAAGGAAGGAAGAAAAGAGTGAGTGAGGGAGGAAGGAAGGGAGGGTGGAGGAAGGAAGAAAAGAGGGAGGGAGGGAAGGAAGGAAGGAAGGAAAGAGGGAGGGAGGGAGGGAAGGAAGGAAGGAAGGAAAGAGTGAGGGAGGAAGGAAGGGAGGGTGGAGGAAGGAAGAAAAGAGGGAGGGAGGAAGGAAGGGAGGGTGGTGGGAGGAAGAAAAGAGGAAGGAAGGAAGGAAGGAAGGAAGGAAGGAAGGAAGGAAGGAAGGAAGGAAGGAAGGAAGGAGAATCTAGGGAGCCAATCCTGATCTCCAAGCAAACTGATCACTTAGATTTATATACCACTTTACAGTGTTTCACAGCCCTCTCTAAGCGGTTTACAGAATCAACTTATTGCCCCTCAACAATCTGGACCCTCATTTTACCCACCTCGGAAGGATGGAAGGCTGAGTCAACCTTGAGCCTGGTGAGATTCGGACTACCAAAGTGCAGGCAGGCAGCCGGCAGGCAGCAGAAGTAGCCTGCAGTACCACACTCTAACCACTGCACCACCTCGGCTCTATCTTTTGCTACCTAACAGTAGCAAAACACACATGATGCTTGGCTTACCACGCTTTTGGGCAGACAATGTGTTGTATCCGAGAAAAGCGGAGAACAGAAATTTTGGGTTTGATTTACCGCTAATACCCTGAGAAATTATGGCTGTTCAGTGGGCACTTGGGCTCCAAAGCAAGCAGCTTCTGGAACACTATCTACTTTTTGTGCGGGAGCGATTTTCCCCTCACCTGCTCAGGTGCCAAAAGTGGAGCTGAAAATGTTATTCAAGGCCGGGAGCTTTAAAAAGCAGACAGCTTTTCTGTTTGTTTGTTTGTTTTTAAATGGTATGAATAGCACTTCGTTTCCATTTTATTTTTATTTTTTAAAGTGCAGCTGGGGCCATGATATGACTGAATTTGTTAGAGAGGGAGGACGTGAAAAGAAGAGAGAAAGAGAAAAAGAAGTAAGAACACTCTCCTGGCGCAAAAAAAACCCCCAACAACCCCGAAAGCCCAGAAGCGGGATTGACTGCACCATTTTTAAAAGATGTGAAAAATTACCTGCGAAGGAGAGAAACTGTATATAAGTGAGACCTTTGGGGAGGACGGGGGGGGAGAGGGGGTAAAAAATAGCAGGCATATAAATATTGAAAGAGGCTGTCAAAATAAACAGAGAAAGAACATACATTCTCCCACACTGCAGTTATAACACAATTTTCAACAGAAGGAAAAGAAGAATGAGCTGGGAGAGGGAGAGAAAGAGGGAGGGAGGGAGGGAGGAAGAGAAAAAGAAAGGGAGGGAGAGAGGGGGAGAGAGAGAGAGAAAGAGAGAGAGAGAGAAAGAGAAGCAGGAATGTTTTGGAACTACTTTTGAACAGATGATGAGTTACACAGAGATGTGAGTTTCTTTAGATTTTTGTTTCTAAAACAGTCTGTTTTTAACCTGAAAAGCAGAATTACAGAATAACAGAGTGGGAAGGGACCTTGGAGGTCTTCTAGTCCAACCCCCTGCTTAGGCAGGAAACCCTCCACCACTTCAGACAAAGGGTTATCCAACCTCTTCTTAAAAACTTCCAGTGTTGGAGCATTCACAACTTCTGGTGGCAAGTTGTTCCACGGGTTAATTGTTCTCACTGTCAGGAAATGTCTCCTTAGTTCTAAGATACCGCTTCACAGTGCTTTCCAGCCCTCTCTAAGCGGTTTACAGAGTCAGCTTTTTGCCCTCAAACAACCTGGGTCCTCATTTTACCCACCTCGGAAGGATGGGAGGCTGAGTCAACCTTGAGCCTGGTGAGACCCGAACTGCCAAACGGCTGGCAGCCAGCAGAAGTAGGCTGCAATACTCCATTCTAACCACTGCGCCACCGTGGCTCTAAATAGGGTTTCCTGCCTAAGCAGGGGGTTGGACTAGATGACCTCCAAGGTCCCTCCCAACTTCATTGTTCTATAATTCTATCCTTCTAATTCTATAGTCCAAACACACACACACACACACACACACCGCTTAAGCAGAAGATCCTATACCGTTTCGGACAAATGGCTGTCCAATCTTTTCTTAAAAACCTCCAGCAATGAAGTACTCAATAATTTCTGACACAAACCACGATTCCCTTAACCAGGTTCGGCTTCCTAGGCAGCCCCGGGGATTCAATAACAGGATGTATCTAGGGTGGTCTATTTTTTTTTTACAAGAGGCATCTTTGGGCATCATGAGAGACCACCCAAGGGTTTAGCCCCCTACCCACAACCCGTGGGGGAGAGGGAAGAAGAAGTGCCATGCGAATGACACAGAGCATCCCGAAGCGAAGAAAACCTTCTTCCCCGTTCTAATAAATGCATGATATGTGACCCGATCAAAGCCATTTTATGAGCCAGCTCGTAAAAGCCCCGTTCCAAATTCCTAAGACTGGAAAGGTTGCGTATGCTGACTCCAAAAACCACAAAGTGCAGCGTGTACTGGGGAAAGAATGGCTTTTGAAATCCATTTAGGAAGGAGTGAGTGTTTTTGGGCCTGGGTCAGCTCTTCTCAAGAGAGTCTCATAATAGCAAGTTGCTCCTCAAAGACGGGTCGAGGTTGGGCGAAAAAAAAAAAAGAGATAGAGATTGCTGCTCTTAAAAATTGGGTTGATTTTTAATGAACCCAGTCCCTAAAAGTCAGAAAGAGTGGGGTTCCTTTCCAGGGGTGGGCTTCAAAAATTTTAGCAAGGGGCTCTCTGCCTGGTTGCTGGGTGGGCGTGGCCAGGGTGGGCGTGGCCAGGGTGGGCATGGCCTAGTCAGCCTCCTGCATCATTTTTGCCCTCCCCAGGCTCCGGAGGCTTAACTTGAGCCTCCAGGAGGGTGAAAATGGCCTCCCCAGGCTCCAGAGGCCCTCTGAAGGCCGGAAACGGGCCTTCCTGAACTTCCGGTACAGCTGTTTTTCGCTCTCTCCAGGTGTCCACGTGTGCCCTGAACTTACCTGCATCCAAAACAGGCCACCTGGGGACTCCTGGGAGGGGCGGGGTAGGAGGGGCCAGCCAGGAGTGAGATTTGGGGGTTCTCCAAACTGCACAGAATCTTAGCTAGAGGTTCTCCCGAACCCCTGCGAAACCCCAGGCAGCCCCACCCCTGTTCCTTTCACAAATCACTGAGAGGGGCCATCTTTGGCAGTGTTTCTCAACCTTCTGTCCCTTTAAGAGGGGTGGACTTCAACTCCCAGAATTCCCCAGCTGGCTAATTCTGGGAGTTGAAGTCCACCCCTCTTAAAGCGACAGTAGGTTGAAAAATACTGTTTTTTTTCCAGACTTGGTATTCTGCGAAAGTGTGCACCACAGGCAAACTCTGGATCAGCATCGGAAGGAAAAAATACAGGCAAAATCAGCTGAGAAAATACACAATTGTCCATGCATGGACAACCTCCGCAAGTCACCTGGAGGGGAAATTCATGGAGGGTATGATTAGCCACGGCTAATTAGCCAGATAATTCAGACAATACTCCGCTCTGGCTCCGGAAAAGACAGCTTGTAATCCATCAAGGAAGCCTTCTGTTGACCTCGCTACATCACACGTCACAGCATCACAAACACACGGTCACATAAAAAACTCCGGGCTGGCAGATGGGCGGGCATTTACAGCCGAGGGGGTCTCAGCCCAGAGAAATATTACATTCGGGAAGAGAGAAATATTTGCTGCTTACCAGTTTGAAGTCTTGAATGCTACAGATGAAGTAGGGTGTGTTCGGCCGACGGCTCTCAATATACACGCAATCTTTTGGAGGGGACAAAAAGGAAGAGTTTCTCAGCCTTGGGTAAAGTAATAAGAGAATTATCAAACACAACACCGAATGGTAGCGGATTAGAACAAACGAGGCTATAAAAATGTCCCGAAGGTGTTTTTTTCAAAAGGCTTTTTGTTTTTTTTTCCTTGAAGAGGTTTTGCTTCTCATCCAAAGGAGCTTCTTCCTTTCTGAAGAAGCGTCTTGGACGAGAGGAGAACTGAAGAAGCTTCTTGGATGAGAAGCGAAATGTCTTCAAGGAAAAAAAATGCAAAGAAAAGTCCAGTTGCCATTGAAAAAGCACCTTTGGGATAACCGTGACCTGGATGTCTGAGAATCTCCAGACAATGCTATAAAATGTGACACACCACACACTCACTCACTCACTCACTCTCACACAAACACACACACACACACACCAATACAAGACGAGTATTAAGGTAATTTTTTAAGAACCAGGGTAATGCAGAAAAATGTCACGTCTCTTCTCCGAGACTACGTGTTAGCTCGCCCGCTACATTTTCCATATCTAGATGATGGCACCATCTAGAATAGTGTTGGCAAAACTTTTCGGCACCGAGTGCCGAAACGGGGGCATGCCGGAAACCGGAAGAGCAGCTGCCCAGTGTGCATGCGCGCGCCGGGAAAATGGTTTTCCAGTGTGCACATGCACACCGGCCACTTGGTCATTTCTGGCATGCACGTGCGTGCAAAGACGAGCTGGCCGGTGCCCATGCGCGTGCCGGAAACCGGAAGATTATCTTCCTGGCACGTGCATGCACACCGGGCAGCTGCTCTTCCGGTTTCCTGTGCTTCCGCGTGCATGAAGAACAGCTGGCCAGCGCGCCGTAACCCGGAAGAGCAACGGACAATGGCTCACATGCCCAGAGAGATGGCTCTGCGTGCCACTTCCAGCACATGTGCCACAGGTTCCCCATCACAGATCTAGGATTCCTCCCAAATTGGGCATCCCCAATGAGAAGATGACTCTCCCATATCTCCCACCACATCTGCCACAATCTTTTGTGTGGGAAAAAAAAACCCCTCCCAATTTTGCTCTAACGCTCCCAGAGTTTCTATCTTATTTATTTGATTGATTGATCGCATTTACCGTATTTTTCGGAGTATAAGACGCACCGGACTATAAGACGCACCTACCTTTTTTGGTGAGGAAAACAAGAAAAAGAAATCTGCCTCTGCCTCTGCCACCCAGCAATTTTGCCTCGTTGCAGCCAACAGCAAACAGTCTGCTTTACTTTCATTTTCGTTTTCAGCATAACTTGATTAGCACAAGGAAAAAAAAAATCTGCTCCCAGCAATTTACCTCCTTGCAGCAAGCAGCAGAGACCCGCGCAAAACAGCTGAGAGTCGGGAGGCCGATCCAACGGACAATCAACTTGTGCTGATTAGGCTGAAACGGGCTGTTTCTTCTTGCTGCTTGCTGCAAAGAGGTAAATTGCTGGGAGGCAGAGGCCAAAGGATGGGGCCCAGTGGGTGGGCGGGGCTACATTCGGTGTATAAGACGCACCTAAATTTTCACCCCTTTTTAGGGGGGGAAAAAGGTGCATCTTACACTCCGAAAAATATTGTATATGGGGCTCATCTCGTGGTGCTTCTTCCCTCCAGTTACATCTAAGTCTCTCTCCATCCATTCGTGGGGTTTTCTCGGCTGTGCCAAGCTATAGATTTCCTATCTGTCCATATCATTTCCCTGCAGTCTCTTAAGTCTAGGTTTCAAATCTCTCGCTCTCCCGAAAGGTATCCTGGTATTACTACACCCCCAAAATTAATGACTCAATCTACTTGGGTGAAGGGGGGGGGCGGCGGAACAGCTTAAAGAGGAGTGCTAGCAAACCACGAGTTTTCATCTGAGCTATTTGTGGTTGTTACTTTATTTTTTTAAAAAAACAGAGGTTTCAACAATCTGTGTAGATGAAAATGTTAAGATGAATTCGCAGACAGGCACCTGCAGGCGGTTATATGAAATTCACAGATCCGTCTGAACAAAGCCGGCTCGCTGCATCTGGGAGACGAGCCAAACGGAGCCAATCCGAGGGCTTTTATGACTCTGTTTCATCAGATCCACGAAAAGCTCTCCAGCTGTTGGATCACATACATCTGTGAACTCTTTAAGATGCTTGGGAACAGAGAATAAAAGGAGGGCCTCCGAGAATTGGAAATCAGGAGAACAAATCTTTACAAACAATACCTGCCTGGCAATGCTAACGTTTACTCTACATCCTTTGGGCCTAGAGCTATGTCTAAGAGGTCCATTATTCACATCCTAAATACTTTCTTCTTAATAAATAATAATAATAATAATAAAGCCATTCTATCCAGCTGTTATCTATGCAGTAAAGCATCTTTAGTTCCTTCCGTTATTTCAGTTTGCAGAATAACAGAGTTGGAAGGGATCTTGGAGGTTTTCTAATCCAACCCTCTGCTCGAGCGGGAAATCCTATGCCCAGTGATGGCGAACCTGTGGCACGCGTGCCCAAAGTGGCACGTGAAGCCACGTCGCCTGGCACGCGTGGCCTCGCCTGTTTGTTTTCTGGGTTTCTGGCACACATGCGTGTGCAACAATCAGCTGTCCTTCGCGAGCGTGGCAGTGCTGAAAACCGGTGTGCGCGTGTGCACAGGCCAGCTGATTGTTAGGTGCATGTGCGCGCCAGAACCCGGAAGTTCGGCTTTTCCAGAGCATGAAAAGCTTTTCCATTTTCAAGTGCGAGGCAGTGCCGAAAATCGGCCTGCGCATGCACGCCGGCCAGCTGATCATCAGGCGTGCGTGCGCAGTAGATCCCGGAAGTTCGGCTTTTCCAGAGCGCAGCCCCAAAGAGTGCCCATGTGATGTTTCCTCGCAACCTTTTCAGCACACGGTGACATGACTGCTATCATGTCACCCCTACGTCACCCGACTAGACCAAGGGTCGGCAACCTTAAACACTCAAAGAGCCACAAAGGTCCTAACCGGAAGTCCCTTGCTCGATTCTGGAGCCGACCGGAAGTCCGGTTCCCCCACCATAGAGTCTCCTCCTAGCACGGCTTCCTTTTTCCTCTACCTGCCTAACCGAAAGTCCTATGAATTGTGGAGCTGACCGGCGACAGGGAGCCACAGCAGAGGGATGAAAGAGCCACATGCGGCTCCAGAGCCGCGGGTTGCTGATCCCTGGACTAGACAATATCCAATTCCTGCAACCGTTCGTATGTTTTAGCCTCCAGTTCCTTAATCATCTTGGTTTCCGAATACCAAACTTGATGAGTTTCAAATCAGTTGAGTACCAAGGTACCGCAGTACATGTTTTAACCTTTCTATGGTGGTGATGATTTTCTGTGGTCTGTCAAGCAAGCCACAGCCCCAAGCCAATGTTCTGTGGTCCCCTCCGAGGCCCCCCCTCCCTCCGCAATCTGTCTCCTCCTCCTTTGCCAAACCCCATGAATAAATGTCCCGCCGACCCCTGCCATCGACATCCCAGCCTTCTTCTTGCTGAACAAAAAGTTCATTTCCTGGGTTGAGAGGAGTAACCATGGTGATCACAGGGTCACCAAAGCCTGCAAACATCCCGAGCGTCCAATGCCTACATGCGAAAGCCATGGTTTTGCTATCCACACACATGTGCAGTTAATCCACACTCAAAAGTGGAGGGCCTTGGACTGTCATTGTATTGCTTATTGGACATGAGAAGTTGGGGCCCACAAACAAGCCCGATCCTGGTGTGGCTCAAATCAGGAATCCGATTGTCACCCGCCAGATACCCCTCTTGAAAAAAGGACGGGAAAGTTCAAACAGAGATCTATATCTAAGTTGCTACTCTTAATTTCCTTTCCTCAGCTTGCACTGATGCGGTTACTAAGCTGGGTCGCGAAATGTCTGTAAGACCAAGCTGAGAGCACCCAGGACTCCACGGATGAGACAGTTGATCTATCTGACAGCTTTTTCACACATTTCAGCTGAGATGAACCAAGCCGAATCTTGCGCTCTGCTTTCAATGTCCTTTGTTCAACTCCAAGCGCCGGAGTCTTTATCTATTTCTGATCTCCGTCGGGAAACCGGGATATCATTTTTGTTTGGGAAAGGAAGCGGACGGCCTCTTTCAAAGGCCAGGAAGCTCCCGGAGTCAATGCAATCCAATTAGGTGCCCGGCAGGATACCAGGATGCTCTAACAATGCAAGCTTGTATCTTCCAAAGGGATTATGCTATGGGCTCTCCATGGGGGCCTTTTCTTCCCGGGGAGACAAAAAAACCCCTCTCTTGAAAATCATCCCTGGGTGCTCTCTATAAGCCCCCCACCCACACCCCGCTGTCAACTCACACCTTCCGGATTCCAAGTTGAGCTTAAAAAAAAAAAAAAAAGCTTCTTCGGTTATGCTACTGTCGTCACAACTCTACCAGGGTCTTTTCTCCTTCCTTCAGAAGCCCTGGCTTTTCTAGGGCAGGATTACAATAATAATAATAATGCAACCGAAGAAAGGGGTTTCACATTGGAACGGGGCACAATTACAACTGGCATAACATTTGCTCTTCGCCTGATGTCTCCCATTTGGGCCTTCTTCTTTTTTGTTTGTTTGCAACTCTGAGAATGGAGCTAGCCAATTTTAGAAATTCTGGAAACCCATTATTTTTTTGACTATAAAGACGCACCTAAATTTAGAAGAGGAAAAGAACAACAACAAAAAAGTTTTTGGCCTCCACGCACCCCATTTTCGGGCCCTTTTTCTGCACTTTTCCAGATTTTTTTCGGCCTATTTTGTGGCTTTTTTCAGTTGTTTTGGGGGCTTTTTTCAGCTGTTTTTTGAGGCTTTTTTCGGCCTGTTTTTTGAGGCTTTTTTCAGCCTGTTTTCGAGGCTTTTTTCAGCCCATTTTGAGGCTTTTTTTGGCCCGTTTTTTTCCTAAAACGAAAAAAGCCTCAAAAATGGAGTGAAAAGAGCCTCAAAAATGGCCCCCCCAAAAAAAGCCTCAAAACAGGCTGAAAAAAAGCCCCCAAAACAAGCCAA